AATAGGAGCATGTCTATGGTGCCGATATGGATTAGTCAGTTAACTTAAGTTGCATGTTTTTGAACAGTGGGAGGAAACTGGAAAACCTGGGGCAAACCCACGTGAGCACAGGGAGAACCTGTAAACTCAGGACAGAAACGTTGGCTAGCTTGGTAAGGACTAGAACCAGTGACGTTCTTGCTGTGAGGCATCAATGCTAAGCCACTGTGCCACTCATCTAGGAAAGGAATAGTAGGGTGGAAGGGGGGATTCTTCAAAACGAAGATGGCTGTGATATGGAACTTAGGGTATTTATAGTGACCTTAGGAATAGTTTAATTGGTGAATCATAAATTGGATAATGCGGGACCATCCGCAAGCAATCAAAAGCAGGTGATCCTCTTGAAATTAGTTTATAAATAAACTTCACTTAAAGTATTCTGACCTACAGTAACCGCTGATTAGCTATTTCAGAGGTTACTTTAGGTCAAACTAAAAAAACTATGACTTTACTTTTAGGCTATACAGTATCTAGATACAAACAGCTATTTTACTAGAAAATTGTCTATAATAAATAATCATCAGTAAATATAAATTCCTTCGAATTCAATTTTAGTTAGCTTTGTTTTTACTGACACCTTTGTTTTTCCCTTATATTTTGTATTTTATTTCTATACATTTACCAAAATGATTGCATTTGAAGGCTAGAGCTCTGAACGCTTATGCGTTCCAGTAAACATATTACATACATGTATATTGAAGCTGACAGAATGTCAAAAATGCCACAGCGTGTCCAACCTCAGATGACGGACAATTCCCTGGTCACTCTCTTCCCGTTTGAGGCTGCCAAGCCAGAATAACCGTTCACCATTTCATTCAGCCCCCTGCACATTCCCTGATATACCACTGAGTTTGTTTATGGGCAGAAAACATAGACCTGTCACTGCCACACACAAACCGGCTGTGAGGGGTGTTGATCTGAGCACGTCCAAAGACAAGGGATTACCGCTTGTTGTAATTATCGTGAAGAAGGAGTAACAGGTTGCTGTGAGTTGCCCTACATTAAAGAGATGCATCCAATCTCTTTTTTTCCCTGTTTGGCTAAATGCCTCACTATAGGAACGCAGACTGTAGGGGGGTTGTACTTGGTGCCAATTAAATAAAGGCCCTTTTAGTTGCAATGACTTAATCACCCCTCGTAAAGGGCAGGACCGGGGAGCCTTTCAACACTCTTTCAACTCACAAAGGTCATTTCAGACCATTATGGAGACAGTAAGGTAATGAGGGATTTTCTAAGCGAAGGAGAACCCACCCCAAAAACTATCAAGCTGCTGTTTTTTTTGTCCTTGTGTGAAAAAAAATTCTGTACATGTTTGTTTGTTAAGCAACAGACATTAAAGGGGTGGTCCAGAGTTTATTTTTAAGGCTTGGTGGTGTTTATAAGATGCAAAGCAATGTGTGCTCATGCTTCATTTGTAGAAAATCATGTTATTTTTTCATAAATATTTATTTGATTATATAAAGCTACTCAGCTAACATGAAAACCACTATCATATTTCCTAGTTCCTGTAAAAGGCCTGTCCTCAAGAGGCTCTGACTGGTCAGCTAACATAATGTGCTGTGATTTGCAGATTAGCTCCACGACATATTTGTGTCATAAGCATGTGTAAGTAATATAAAAGTTTCCCATATCTTTTGCTAGTTTGTTATTTGAAATGTACAAAGCAGGGAAAGCGGACGCATAGAGAGACACTGCAGCGCTGGTAAAGATTGTGGGTGTTTACAGTGGTTTGATATACTCTATATGAATTTGCAGCTAAAATGTTAACAGTGCCAAACAGCATTTCACGTTGCTTACATCCTTGTTTACATCCTTGCCACAACATACCGATAATAGAAACTGTGAATGTAATAGATAGATTTTAACAAATAAAAATACTTACAGTTTGTGGCTCACAATCCACAGCTTCTGCTATTATGGTTAGAGCTGCTCTTATATTAAATAGTTTTTAGCCGAATCCAGCACTGAAGTGGGAGAGATTCTGGAAGCTATCCTTTGTCAAATGCTAGCTTTATATACTTTTACCATTCTCTGGAACATAATTAAAATTAAACTGTAAGGCCTTTTGTCTTTGTGTTGTGTCCTTTGTAAGCTCAAATACTGAAACAGAGGAAGCTCTGTGGAAATTTTAGCGTTTGGATGGCATTTTAGCTTTCTCTGCTATAACATTACTGTGCCTCTGGCCACGCCCCTCTGTTGCGTGGAGTGTGTGCGCATGATGAATGTTCGTAACCTGAAGCATTTGTGATCTCACTAGCCTGGATGTATTTTTTTGTAGTGCCCAAATTTATTCACTGTAGGCTTTCCTAAGCTAACCCTGTAAAAGCCAATGTCTCACTTTGCATTGAACTTTAAGAGTATTACATTCAGAGATATTGTTAATGTTCACACAGCTACATTACACATCAACTAAAGTTCAAAATATGATATCACTTTGGACCACCCCTTTAAGAAATCATAAAACATTATAAGTTGTTTGAATGGGCATTTACAGAGCTCTGTATCCATCAAAAGTTGCACATTTTACTTGTGTGCAAAATCAGATGACGGTATTTGTGAATAAAGCACTCTTTCTGTCTCATGTTTTTGAGAGAATAACCTTTAAGAGAAACATGGTTGATTTATCAGCAGCTCTTTTTCCTTCATAAAAATGTGTTGTGCATTATTTTGATGACAAACTTTCACTTTGAAATTCTCACAATGCTTAAAACAACATTTGAGATGGTGTTAGATGAGATCCCTCCACTAGTTAATGCAGTTACTCAATCACATCATCACAGAGACAAAATCATATGACTTTTTTATTTTGCATAAATGAATTTATTTGGTAAATGTGATTCAGTTGAAGGCGTCACGGTGGTGCAATGGGTAGCACAATTGCCTCACAGCAAGAAGGTCACTGTTTCAAGCCCTGGCTGTGTCAGTTGGCATTTCTGTGTTGTGTTTGTATGTTCTCTCTGTGTTCGCATGGGTTTCCTTCAGGTGCTTTGGTTTCCCCCCAGTCCAAAAACATGCACTGTGGGTGAATTGATAAAGCTAAGTTGGCCATAGTGTATGTGTGTGAATGCAAAATTGTATAGGTGTTTCCCAGTGATGGGTTGCAGCTAAAAGGGCATCCACTGCGTAAAAAAACATATGCTGGATAAGTTGGTGATTCTTTCCGTTGTGGCATCTTCCGATGATGATGAATGAATGAATGACTCAGTTGAACGCTTTTTTTTTAAAGTGTACTGTATGCACATATTTACATCCAGTGTTTCTTTATGCAAGATCCAATAAAGCACATAATAATAGTTGGATAGACCTAGAAACTGATTTTTTATCATTATTTTTAAAGGTCTTTAATCGTACATTTTTATAGACTTTTAGTGACCTTATTCTTCACTGTGGAAGTGTACTTGTTTTTGCAATTGTTTTAGATATACCAATTTAGCTGCCAATAGAGGAACTCATTCATTCATTCATTCATTTTCTTTTCGGCTTAGTCCCTTTATTGACCTGGGGTTGCCACAGCAGAACGAACGGCCAACTTATCCAGCATGTGTTTTACGCAGCGGATGCCCTTCTAGCTGCAAACCATCACTGGGAACCCATACACTCTCATTCACACACCTACACTACAGACAATTTTAGTTCCAATGGCTGCACCTGCTCGTACATTAAGAATAAGGTCAATCGTGAAGACAGGAAAGCATAGGGAGCAGAGAAAGGGGTAGTATAGGCAAAGGACCTTAAGCTGGGAATCAAACATGGGTGCTATATGTCAACGCACTAACTACTAATCCATTGGTGCCAACAAAACTGAAACTTTTTTGTGGATTTCTGCCATTCCTTTATAATAGAGTGTTTTAGGGGCCTGGAAATGCAAACATTTCAGATTGTGTTTCAGAGAGAGTGTCTACAAAAACTATACCATTTTAATTTCTGTGTACAAAATACAAAAATATTTTGTCATGTGCATGCATATCAATTTTTGCTGATACAGTATGAGCAAATGGGAACACTATTAACAACATTGTCTTTTTGTATGCCAAAAACTTTTAACTTAATGCAAAGACTTCACAGTTTTTTGTACATTTGGTAAAATGGGGGTTTTGTTTAAAAAAAGATGCAAATTTTTTTTCATTCAGAATTATAGGTTTTGGAACCTAGAAGTTATTCAAGTGTTTCTTTTCACTTCTTTCCACAAGGTAAACATGGTAACAGTTTGCCGATTTGTTGACAATGTATGGCACAGGTGTCAAACTCAGTTCCAAAAGGGCCGCAGCTCTGCACAGTTTAGTTCCAACCCTAATTAAACACACTGATCAAACTAATTGAGTCCTTCAGGCTTGTTTAAAACCTACAGGTAAGTGTGTTGGAGCAGGGTTGGAACTAAACTGTGCAGGTCTTCGGCCCTCCAGGAATTGAGTTTTACACCTTCTGAGTATGGTATGAATCACTGAAAATGTATTTACTGAAAGCAACACATACTCCATAAATTATAATAATTTGCTTCATCATAAAACAATAATGCACATGCATAATATAGACTTGAATGTATATAATCAGTTGTGTCTTCTTAAGTTAGTGGAAATAAGGGGATATTTAATCTAAAAATGAAAATTCTGTCATCATATACGCCCATCATCACAATCAGGGTAACCATTGGCTCGTTTTTCGCGGGGTTATTCCTGGGTTTTAATACAGCTACCGTTAAATTGGCTACTTTACAGAGATGAAGTAGAATATTTGGTAAAACAGGACTAAAATAACTACCATCATTAATTCAAAAGTTATTGTCTGCTATCAGTTCTCTTAGTTGATCCTCTCTCTAAATTGCAAATAATGCATTTTCTCTCATGTATTGTATCTTATTCTACTGCAACTGTACTAAATTCATGGCATTTACTTAACTGCTCCAATTTGGAGTGTCAGAAGGGCTGAGTTTTGGGCTGGGAGCCGCTGATGTCATAGCAGAGGGAGGGATCGCCCCCATAGCGCGCAGCATGAACGCTCCGCGGCAAAAGGATGTGTGAACAAGCAGCGCGCTACTGCAGGGACGGCGTCCACAAACTGCTCCACAAAGAACAAGCAAAACTCCGGGCACAGGACAGCAAAGACCAGCCCACACCCGGGGCTCAGGACAGCGAGACAGCGACGGCTGCACAGTCCGGAAACAGCGGCGCACAGCCCGGTGGAATAGACGGGCTCGTCCGCTGGATAGTCACCAAGATGAGCGACAATAAAAGCATCTCTACCCGGGAATACGCGAAGGAGGAGGCGGCGGTGGCTCAGGAGCAGTTCTTCGCGCCGGAGCCTCGAAAGGGCATCTCAGTCATTTTGGATGTAGGTGTTTCATTTTCTCTGTGTTATGAAATATGAAGTGCGCGCGACCGTTCAACTTTTATTCGGTTTCCCGAATAAAGTAATGAACTAATTTATTCATTAATTAGTTGATTAATTCAGTAACCTCAGAAGAGTTTTAAGCATTAATTAGACATTAATGACTCATACACAACTAGTAAGCCTTTGATGCTTTGGGAATACAAAAAGCAATTGCACTTTATGAATTTATCTACTTTTAACTTTTAATTCTGTCTTTATTTTTTCTTTCTTTTATGCATTTCAGTTGCATGTTGTTATCTAACATGCTTTGCATACTTTAATACATGGATTTTGTAATTCTGATTGGTTAGTTGCAAGCAATCAGTTTTTGTACAGTAACCTAATTGGACATAGTTGACGATAGAAACATACCAGAAACATACTACTTTCGCATATCTCTCCGCGCACTCGGAAACTAGTGCCACCGAGCGATTTTAAATGGTCATCAAATGGTGATAAAAATTGTCTAGCATTAAATTTGGTGTCTGTCTAATTCGCAAAAAGCCTAAAACAATGGAATGGTGAGTCTTAAAAGTCCCTAAGCAAGCAGAAGAGCTACACAGAAAGACAGAAAGTTTAAAGATTAAATCTAAATTTCAGAAAAACAAATTTTCATTCAATGTTTTTGTTTAATTTATTACTATTATATGATTGCAGTGTCCTAATAACGCCTATATAATGGACATTCTTAGCAAAAAATCTAGAAATACAATGAAAAATAACTTAAATAAATAGTTTTTGTTCAAGGTAAATCATTTGAGTAGCCATTTTTGAAGAGTAAAATAATTTACAGCTGAAAGACCCCCCTTCAGGATGAGATAAAGCCCTCCCAATGGCACTCTATAACTGCATGCACACGCGCTGTCCCAGCCGTATCCAAATACTGTTCAGCTTCTCGAATGTGCACTAGAAAAATCAACCCAATTATAAAACACACCAAATATTCTCTAGTAGCTACAACGCTGCATACATTTGACTGTACCTTTCAGCATCTTGAGCTTATACAACAGTTTTCTTTTGCTCTGAATTTATCTCAGAGAACCTAAATAATTTATTGTGCTTTTCCTGTGAGCCTGGCAGTTATGCTTTGTGGTTGGCTGCTGTGGCGAGGTCTCAGCAGTATTGATTTAGTAGGTCAAAGTATTGCCTCAGTATTGTTCTTCATTGGTGCTGGATAATTATCTGATGGACATACCTCTCGAGATTTCCACATTGCTTTTAGGGGGAGAAGTTAAAACGTTTAAGAGAGTGATAATAAAGTAGTTCAGTTCCAGACCCAGATACAGTCTCAGGTAACCAGAACATATAAGGGGACGAAAACTAATTAAAAACCTCAGGAAAGAAAAGCCAAAGGCACCAGATGCACCCTAGTGTAAATACAATAGTGGAGGCGGGGTTATGCAGATAATGAGGTGCTGTAGATAATTTGTCTTTTATGGATGGTGAGCATGTGTACACGATTTTCTCGTCGAGACTTAAGATACGGAGCACAGCTGCTTGTAAGGGAATTGATTTCCCCCTATACTTTCTGAGAGAATTCCATTACTTATCTCAATCTTGACACGTCTTCTGCAATGTCTGTTCCAGAATCAGCCTGCATTGGTAAACAGCTGAGCGCCATTCATTATTAGAGTTTATTCTGAAAGTGTCTGAAGCAGCTATGCAATTGTAAAGACCCCATTTTCATTTCTGAAAGCCTTCGATTCAGCGGCTAGACCAGTTATAGATTCAGAGCGTGTCAAATGCTCGCATCCCTGGCTTCCCCAAACCTGACAGTAGAGCACTAACAAGCTGTCGTAAAGAAGGCTATAAGTGTGTTTCGCGCTATTGCTTTCTTACATAATCATGCCTCTGGTCCCAGACCTCATCTGGCTTTAGGGAGTAATTAAGTGCATTTAATGTTTTTGAACATTTCGTTTCCACTGGGGTTGAATGGTGTGCGCTAAATTACAGTAGTTTATGCTGTAGGACGCACATGTGTGAGAATAGTTGATCAAATGGTGGCAGCACGTGACATTTGCTAAAGACTTCATCGCACTATTGACTTGAACTTTAAAATACAAATATATCTGGCATTTGTTCAGTGGATTGGATTTGAGCCAAAGCACGGAGAATCAATCCAATTGACTTGGCAAGTATAAATGGGAGTCCCGTATTAGTGCCTATTAATTGAATCCATTTGTCACTCTCCCGTTTAAAGTCTTTGTCAATCTTTTTCTTTCTTTGGCTGACATCTCATTCTCTCTTGTTATTTGTTCCAGATCCTTTTATCGACACTAAGAGTTAGAGTTAGTTTGCAATACTTTATTCTTACTTTTTTATATTTTTATCATCAAAAATTAATTAATAAAACTTAATAGATGGGATAGATCAGGGGTTTTCAAAGTGTGAGGCGTGCCTCCCCTGGGGGGCGCCAGAGCATGTCAGGGGAGGCGCAGGAAAAAATATAATATAATAAAAATATAATTATTAAGTTTAATTATTATATGTATTTTTTATTATATTTAAACGTTTTAATTAAACAAAGCAAAAAAAAAAAAAAAAAAATACGTCAAATATAAGAAAACCTTTTTTACCCAGAAGGCCATAGCTGTGAATTCGCTTCTGTTTGGCAAGCCCGCCAATACAGGTATATGCCTGCTAGTACAATGGGTCGGTTTCTGAGAACCCCCCGATTCAAAGCTGTAATGTAAAGTTCACGGCCCTTTGGCCGCCGGGAAGAAGGAGGCGGAGAACCGAAGCAGTTTTATAGTGATTTATTAATGACAGTGACGGCAGCTCCTTAAGGAGGCTGCCGTCTAAACCAAAACAAACGGACGGCAGCTCCTCACGGAGACTGCCGTCAAACTGAAAGCAGAAGTAAAATATGTCCGGGTCCGGTCCTCTCTCGGCTTCCCCTGCCCACGTTCCTCCTTTTATGATCCAGGGCTCCTTCCATGGGATCTGAGGCAGGTGCGCACCGCAGGTTTATCCACTCACGCGGTGGCCTCACTCCGTTCCCACGGCTCTCGGCCACGCCCCCTCGTCACAAAAGCCTTCAAATTCAGGGCTTAAACCCAAAAGACGACGATATGATGATCAGTATTTGCGTTTAGGATTTACGTGGACAGGACCAGCTGATGAACCACGACCTTTATGTGTGGTTTGTCAAAATATTTTGGCTAATGACAGCATGAGACCCGCTAAACTTCGACTGTTGTGACTGGGATGGACAGTTCTTGGATCTGTTCTATTCATATTAAACCATCATCCTAGTTTTAAAAACGTTATATTAAAATACTTGTTATTACTCTGTACTTTCATGCAAATGATGATAAAAGTGAGTTAACCGTCTGACATCTGTCTGTGTCTTTATATATATATATATATGTGCGTGTGTGTGTGTGTGTGTGTGTGTGTGTGTGTGTGTGTGTGTGTGCGTGTGCGTGTTTGGGTGGAGGGGGGCGCCAATGGATAAGTTGTGTCAAAAGGGAGCTCCACTGTCTTAGACTTTGAAAAACCCTGGGATAGATGTTTTAAAATGTAGTCAAATATAAATATCTAGGCCTACAAATAAATTACATTAATGTTTTTGTCGTTTAACATGTTGTACAACAAAACTGTATAAATTCAAATATTATATGTATATGATATTTGAGAAGAATTCGTTTTAGTATAGTTTAAGTAAAATAGTTCTGTAAATTCTACAAAATAAATCAGACGTTTATTTTAAAGTTTGTTTTAGCTTGTATTCATTGGCAGTTTTCAAGGCTTATCTCGCGTAACTATTTTACTTTTTGTCAGTTTTGTGGCTAATTTGTACGAATTCGTAAAAGGAAAATCGATTAGCAAATCGTACTAAATTGAACAAATGAGATTGTACGAATTCATATGAATTAGCCACAAAAAAAAAAAAAGTCACGAATTGCCATGAGATCATGTTGCAGTTTTCTCATTCAAGAGTTCACATTCAGATATTGCTTGACGCTATTTGCAGGTTTAGCATGCTGTCCCTAGAGAGAACCTTGAGCTCAGAGATAATTGATCCCAGGGCTCCCGCCTGGTCATTTAGGGCATACTCACACCATGTTCAATTGCCTTAATCCGGGCCGAAGCACAATTGTCCCCCCCCTCCCGTCTCCCCCGACAGCCCGCACTCACATTACATTCAGGGCTGTGCACGCTTACGTCATCGATGATGCGCTGTTCAATAAGCGCTCTGGCTGAGCACAGTGGAGATTTCTTTAGTTATATGGTTTGGGATGCAGTAACACGCAGTCAAATATTTCGCCAAACAGATCAGCCACTTTTCACGCTCAGAAACAAAAATCATAAAGTTCTCGTGCTGCACAAACTTTGAGGTTTGCTGAAGGTGCAGCTGTGGTGCAGTGAGGGGTTTGCGTCTTTAATAATCAACGACAGTTTGCGTTCATTGAACAGTAAGAATTATTAATAAATCCATATGATACAGTCCCGTAAAAGTCACGCTGCGGGCTCAGGCACGCTTTGCACTCACACTTCAAGCATACCGTGCCAAAGCCCAAGTGAACCGTGCTCTGGCACACGCGCTCTCTTCCAACTGGGCCAGGGCTGGACATGTAAACCCTGCCTAAACCCGATTCAGAGCACTCAACACTTCTCAAACGATCTGGGAAACGGGCTAGGGCACGGTTCAGATAGCATAGTGTGAGTACGCCCTTAGCCTGCTTATGCTTTTAAGGCCTACAATAATGGCTGGTTGGGACTACAAAAGTCTTCTTCCTGTGTTTGTGACATCAGCAGCCCAGAAATTGACAAAGCCCGTCCCCAGCGTTAAGTTTCTGGGTCACTAAGCCAGTATTTTGGGGGGTTTCCCACTAGGGGTCAAAAAGACCAAAATTGGAGACAAGAATACTAATTTGATGTTAAAACAAATTGTTGACAGTTTATTTTATTGTTTAATTATTTATTAAAAGTGTATCTAAATACAGCTACTTACCTGA